TAGGACGAGGTCTGAGCGTCAGGGTTGCGGGGGTTTACCTGTGATGGGGGCCTCCACTTCCAGCATGCACTTCTCCTGGCGCAGGATGCTGGCTCCCTCGTTGATGATCCGCAGAGCCGCCTCCTCCTCCAGGCGGCCCTCCTTCACCAGATGGGCCTTCAGCAGCTCCACGCTGGGCCTCCCGTCCACATACAGGTCTTTGACCGTCAGGCGTGTACCGGGAGGATATGGCACCGCTACAGACAGACAGGAAAGAGACAGACGGGTGAAATATGCAGCTCCACACCGACGCCAGCCACACACACACACACACACACACACACACGCTGATAAACCCAGTTGCCTCTGAAGACAGGATGGACGCTGCAGCTTTTACAGCGTGCTTCTGTTAACAATGGTTTCAAACTGAGTCAATAAGAACAGGAGACTCAACAAGGACACAGTGTCACCAACACAGAGAACAGCACACACTGCAGCAGACACACAAACAGCTGATCCTGGTTCAGTTTCTGTGGACACAACTGTACTCGAAGGAAACAACACACCAGCTCTCAAACTAAGTTATTTTCACTCTGGTTCAAATTGAATTTGGTTGTTTTTTATTTTAATCCATTAATCATCTGGACATCATCAGAAAATATTGAAATATTTATTTTCCAGAGTCGAACGTGACGTCTTCAAATGCCTCATTTAGTCCGACCAACAGCTACAAACCAAAGAGATTCAGCTGCACTGATTGGTCGATTGATTGCTCTCAGGCTTCTCTCTGGAGCTCTAGTAACAACAGGTCGGTGAGCCAATCAGAAGAGAGGAGGCTCTGAGCCTCTCTTCTGATTGGCTGACTGTTTTCTGAGTGATCCAATAAAAATAAAGCAGATTTCAGGTAAAAACACTCAGAGAAACCAAATCCTGCAAGGTTTGGATGGTGGGTCCAGGTGGGCGGGGCTTGGTGACTGCTTTGTTGTGACATCACAAAGTTCCAGAAGTCCTGACGGCTGGTTTTAAGGCTCAGTTTCTGAATACAGGCTGTGTGCATTTCTCTGTGACTGAGGCTTTGATACTTTCACAGTATTAATATAGAAGCTAGAGCTGATCTATAATCACACTACACATGGACACAGACCTTTACACTGGAGGAGCTTTAACAGTGAAAATGATCCATTACCAAACTGGACCTGATCCTGAGAGTCAGCAGCAGTCAGTGATATTCCAGAGCTGCAGACATGATGTTTTTTTTTGCTTTGATTTTGCAATCAGATCAGCAACAGAAACTCCTGTGACGACCATAACAACATGTCAGGACTCAACCTGAAGACAAAGGATCAGAGTTTGGCAGCACACACCAGCCCCCGGAGGAAATACCACACAGCTTCATCCCTGGAAAACACCTTGATTTCCCACACTGAACGAACCGTGTCCTAACGAGCTGGAGCTTCATCTGCTTTGTGGAGGCTCATGTCTACATTCACACTCATCCAAAGATGGTTGAGTCCAAGAGGATGCTCCACTCTTTATTATTTTTGAGAAGATAAGAACTGAGCTGTGTCTTCTTTTCAGGTTGTGCTTATGATTCCCGTCAGAGATAAAACTGTAAAAACGTTTAATATCATGATTAAAGTGACAGAAATTACAAGTTATCTGCCACAAATAAATAATTCACAGCACTTTGTGTTGCATTTAAAGGTTAAAATAACAACATTACTCGTTGTGTCCTCAGTCTGAACAGAAAGACAAACTCCACTGGACGTGAAGGAGTCAACTGCCTGTTTTAACAGGTTTACCTGCGTTTAAAAAAAACCTGCTTATACCTGCTGACTTTGGCTGCAGGATGAAAAATCTCCAGAGCAGCACCGTCACTTCTCCCGCCATGTTCCGACTGACAGTAAATCTAAAATGAAAACTTTTAGCTGCACTTTCCAGTAGTCTGGTTTGCTGGTCTTCATTTACCATTTCATTTTACTTTTATTCCTTATATATATACACATATATATCTTATTTTTATTGGACTATTTATTATCTTTAATGATATTTTAGTCGGTTCTTGGTCTAAATTATTTTATTTTCTTAATGGTTTTTAGTTAAACATTATGTCTAATGTTTTATCTTCACACTGTCCAGAGTTTTTCAGCACATCGTTCTTCCAGCTGGAAGTGCAACACAGAACATGATGGTGACAGTAATTTTATTCCATTCTATTCTACTATTAGTTTTAATGGCATGTTTTCTCTTTAATCCTGGTTCACTCCTGTAAAGTGCTGTGTAAATAAAGTTTATAATAACTTTATAAAAGCAGGTGGATCAGCGTCGCCTCACGAGCTGCTGTCACACACAGAAACACACTCCGGCTTCTCTTTACTCAAGTATTTCAGTAGACACACACTTGTGTCAACTCTCTCTCTGTCTCTTCCTCTCTGTCTCTTCCTCTCTCTCTCTCCCCTGGCCCAGTGGTCTAGTTTAGTGTGCAACTCTGAAACCAAACCAGGTCGCACACATTCAGCCAATCACGTCAGGGCCCCTGAACTGGTTCATCACCAGCTGAAGGAAACCAGCCGGGCTCCGAGACAGATGCGACTCTGATCGGATCACCCAGCAACAACTGGGAGGCCGAGGCGGTGTCGAGTCTCCGAAGAGAGGAAAACAAAACCGCAGTTGTGAGAACGAGGCGTCACAGACCACTACAGGAAGTGGTATTCAAATAATCAACGACACAGAGACGCTTGTTCCCGCCAGTGGCTGAAGGGACGGAGGGAAAACTTTTCATAACTGAGCTGAAGCAAACGTTGCATCAGCCTCCAGTGTGATAATGAAGTCGGCTTCAGACGGGCCTGAAGCTTCAGCTGCTGAGGTCAAGGCTCAAGATAAACTCAGTCATCTCCTCTGACTTTTAGACATCGCAACATTTTAATTCTCACTTCGGTCTTTGTTTGTTGGTGAACTCTGTCCCTCCTGGGCCACCGTACAGCCTGCGGCCAGGAGCCAGTCAAATTTAAGCAAAACAAAGAGTGAATCAAACAGACACCTGCTTTGTTTCTTTTTCTGCTGCTCTGCACAAACCGGTGGCATCTACATGTTCCTCTGCTCTTACTGTCTGATAAACACCCACAGATGTACGAAGTATAAAGTATAATCTGTATCTGTCAGCACAGAGGCTGGGTGGGTGGATAAAACGAAAAATAAGAAATGTTCTTCATTACCGGTTTGAATTATTTCAGCTCCTGCTCTGAGAAACCCGTTTTTCTGTCAGTCTGTAAGACAGATGTAAAATACTACAATACCCATGAGCCTCAGCTGTTGTTACCATGGAGAAAAAGGCAGTCGAAAGGCGCAGGAAACTCAGCTGTGAAGATAAGGTGTCGCCACGGTTACTGAATTCACCCGAATCTGAACTCAATGAAGTTAAAGCTGCAGGTTGTAAAATCAAACTGTATCTGAAGCTCTGTGATTGGATGTCATTAGCTGAAATGCACCTTGGGAGTCGTAGTTGACTTCAGGCATAAAGATGAACACAGTTGTTGATCTGTATGACTGAACCAGAGACAGAACCGTCAGTCACCAGCACATGAACGACCTGCTTCCTGGTTTGGTGTTTTTGTGCTGTGTCATCTTGTTACTGAGCAGCTGCAGTAAAAACACGTCAGCTTTGACTCTGAGAAATTAGAACGGACATTTTTCACCATTTATAGACAATTAATCAAAACAAGAAGAATCAGTAGATTAATCAATAAATGGAAATATTGGATAGTTACAGCTAGAGGTCGGTGACCTCGCTTACTCAGATCAACTACTACTTCAGATCAATCGTTCAGATCGCCTCATTAAAAAGTTTCTATATTTAGTTGTAAAAGTTCAGCTTGATGTTAGCTGTTAAACAGCCAGCCCGCTAACCGCTAACCGTTAACAGCTAACGGCTAACGGCTAACCGCAGCTGGAGACAGCAGAGCTGGTTCTGCTCTGCAGCCTCAGGGAGTTTGGTGTAGCATCACATGAACCAGTTCTCCACCTGAGCAGAACCAGAACCACAGTCACCAGCTGCAGTCCGAGACGCTGCAGGCAGGGACACAGGAAGTGGGAAGAGCAGGGGAAACGCGTGGACTTTCAAATTAAAACACTTCTATATTGCACCGTATCAATAAATAACAGCACCGATACAGATACTCCACGTGAACTCAGCAAAAATTGTGATTGGTTTGTAAACAGCATTGTGGGTGAAGAGTAGGGGCGAGCAGACTATCATCCAAAAGAACAAAAAAAGATGCACATCGCAACGTCCAGTCAGGACTTTCACAATAAAACCAGAGCAGAAACAGGATGTAGATGGTGGATTGCGATTCTACCCAAAAAGACATCTGATCTTTGTCCAGATCTCCCAGCCCTCGCTGCAGCTTCAAACGACAGTTGATGCTGACATCACTGTTCTGTCTGAGGTATGATACGTAACCAGTCACATGTACATCTTCTCAGACGACACGTGATGCCTTCATTTGCTCGCAGCTCAAAACCTCAAGATTTCAATTTACCGTCATATAAAATAAATAAAAACTGAAATATTTGAGAAGCTTTTGGAATTTTCCTCTTGACTGAAAGAACAGTCACAAATACATTTTCCTGACCAGTGACTGAGTTTTCTACACGAACCACGAGTTCACAGAGTCAGTGTGAAAAAAAGTTGAGACTGTGACACGAGTCAGAAAAAGAGGAAAAGCAGTAGTATTTTAAATCCTGCAGTAAGCCTTAAGAAGCCATGATGTGGCAGTAACTCGATTACAGTCAGTCTATTAGTCTGACTGCTCTGTTAACGTTTCTTCTGTGTATCATCAACGTGACCCCGAGACAGACCAGCACGGCGTTATCACAGGAAACGGGACGGGCGGGCCCAGGGCAGAGCTCCGTCCTGGGGCCCAGCACAGGACACTGAACCTGCTCCGTCCTCGGGGTCCGGCTCCATCAATCATGCATGAGGACAGAATCATTACACATGCCAGGCAATGCAAACGGACCGGCTGATTCGATTACCATCAGTAACTAAGCCAAAAGGCCAGAGCAGGCAGACACACACACGCACGCACGCACGCACGCACGCACGCACGCACGCACACACACACAGCAGGTTCAACAGAATGCTGTGAGCTGCTGCGGTGTCAGAGAGTCCGGCCATCAGGACGACTGCGTTTGTCCTCCAATAATTAGCCAATTGATTAGTCCATTGACAGAAAATTGACTCAGACCAGATTTATGATTGATTCAGGGCTGCAGCTCACAATTATTTTCATTATGGATTAATCAGCAGATTCATCGTTTGGTCTTTAAACATCAGAAAATAGTAAAAAATAACAAAGAAAAAATTAATTTAAAAGGCGGGAATCAGGACTTAAAAACGACTGAAACAATTATCCTTTTATTATATTATATGATGTTATTTTATATCATTAAGTACTTATAGATTCTGCTTCTGTTCATGGTGTAATTAAGGTTGGAGGTTCCTTTTATTGTCTCTACCAGGAGAAAACTGTCTCGGATTGAGAGACCTTCACAATAAAAGACGTTACATAAGAACATGTGCAACCACAAGCCTGAGATATGATAACCACGCACTAATTATGACTAATTATTTCAGCTCCCAGTCTAATCATGTTATGTATCATCTCACATACCACAACAACACAACACAACGGTTTCTGCAGCAGTTTGTCTGTGACAAAAGTTCTAATTCAGTTCATTCTAGTTCAGTGTGAACTATTCAAATTACAGCTGCAGCAATTAGTCGGTTAATCAATGAGCCGATCGTCAGGACAGGAATCAGCAGCTACTTTGATCATTGTCTAATTGTTATAATCGTTCTTTAAGCAGAAAATGCAAATATTTGTTGGTTCCAGCTTCTCAAACGTGACGATTTGATATTTTAGAAACTGAAGAACCGTTGATCAGACCAGTGTGTGTGTGTGTGTGTGTGTGTGTGTGTGTGTGTGTGTGTGTGTGTGTGTGTGTTGGCTTCCTGACTGACCAGCCTTTAAGAAGGCAGGTTTAATGATGTGACTCTCTCCTGCAGCTTTACACTCCTAAGCCTTCCAACCCAACTGAGCCTATCATATGTGTCTCTGCCCCCACGCCTCCCACCCCCCAGCCCCACCGCCACCCCGGCCCCTCCCACACTGACCCACACACATCCAACCTAACTAACCTGCTGGTTAACTAATTACTAAAAACACTGTACTGGCACAAAGACAATATTTCTTTTCTGGAAATTCTACCTGAAAACGTGAAGGACTTTTATTTTTCACAAACCTGCAACTAACGATTATTTTCATCATCGTCAGTCCGTTTCTTGTGACTGTAACTTTGTGTTCATCAAACGTCCCTTTTCTATTTTAAACTGCAGCAGCACTTTAACCACCTTGAATTGTCTGTTGTGTTTTTATTGTGTTCACGTTTCCCTCCTGTGGGACGGACAGAACCTGAACTCAACTCAAACCTTCTGGTTGATTAAATGACAGGAAATAAAAACACAAATCTGGGTTTCCCAGACGTCTTTAAACGTCTCCATTTGTGGAGCAACAGACCGAAACATTCAAACGAAGAGTTTCATAAGAGACGGAGAAAAGCAGCAGATCTGAAACCAGTCAGTGATTGTGTATTTCTGCTTGAAGAATAACGTTAACAATTAATTGATTATCCAATTAATTCTACTTTAATTAGACTGGACGTTTATGTTTTCACAACAGCTGCAGTGAACACTGAGGTTACACCAGATCCTGTGACCTGATTAAGATTCTCATCCTTATTATTTTCTATTTCAGTGCTGCACATGTCTAACTGTTTTCTGATTTATCTAAATATGTAGATCCAAATCACATGGAGTAAACCAGAGGCCCCTGAGGCCCCTGAGGCCCCTGGGCCGTTGCCCACTTTCCCTGGTTGGTTATTCAGCCTTGGAGTTAGCAAACAACCAGAGAGGTGGGAAAGTGTTGGATAAATAAGTGAAACGTCTTGATTCTCAGCAGCACGAACACACGCTCAGTCTAAACAGCAGCACTTCCAGGATTTAATATCTAACATCATAATTCATATAATTAGTAGTGTTAAATAACATCTAGTTTAAAATCCATGAAGAAGAACATATGGAGGATGACGGGCAGGGCTGATGAAGGTGTGCCGAGTCAAGAAAGGTAAAGCTGTTGAAATGTGTGACCCACTGTGTGTGTGTGTGTGTGTGTGTGTGTGTGTGTGTGTGTGTGTGTGTGTGTGTGTGGTCACTTTATTAGTAACAGCTGCTTTAAAAACAAAATATGTGATAAAGTATTATAGACACGTCTGCCCTGGGTGTTTGGTGGAAATGTCTAAGTGGGTCACACAGTTTGGTGCAATCACAGAGGTCATAATAATAATAACCTCAAAAAGACTGAGGAATGATTCTGAGCCACAGAGACTGTGACTGATGAAATACTTAGAAAACATCACAGTTATTTTCATCACTGATCGTTTGTTTTCTCCATAAAATCTCCTAAAACTGTGGAACATGAACATCGCCACTGTGACGACCCAGAGATATTCGGTTTAATGCATAAGAACTGCCTCAAAGGATTCTTCAGTTGTTATGGTAACACTTTTATTATACATTTATCAGCAGTATGTAGTTACGTAATGACCGGTTTCTGACAGACTGATGTAAGTGTCGGGAGATATAAAAAAATTTTCACTGTTTGTTCTGCACATTTTATTATTGTGTTTTACTATGTTGTTGTTCATTATCTGTTTAACATGTTATTGTATTTACATTATAAACTGATTACAGCTGCATTACAGTCTGTTATTAACAGTTTATTACACGTCCTTATGAACGCTGAATAGAGGAAGTTAAATAAAAGTGTCACCATTAATATAATTCTAAGATTAATTTTCTGTCATTGCCTGATTGATTAGTCAATTAGGAATTTACATTCTGCTTTATCAGACTTTGTTTCACTAATTACAGCTGCACAGATACTCGATTAATCGATTAATCGATCGAGAGAAATAATCAGCAGCTATTTTAATAATAAATCATTTCAATAACTTTTCAAGGCAAAATAGTGAAACAATTCCAAATATTCATAATTATTTTCATAACCGATTAATCTGCATATCATCAATCGATTCATCGTTAAATAAGAGATTCCACTGTGATGTGTTCAAATGTCTTGTTTGGTTTGATGATATACCTCCTCACCTGAGCGTCTGGAACTGGAGGACAGTTGATGTTTTTTCACCATATTTCATTGAGAAGAATTATTGAATCAATTAATCAGTTATCAAAATGGTTGGTGATTCATTTCCTGTCGATCGACTGGCTGATTAATCGACTAATTGTTGAAGCTCTGATTGTGAACTGAATATTTTGGGGACATCTGAAGATGCCACTTTTGGTGATGGGCATTTTCTGATGATCTTTGGCGTTTCACCGACTAATCAATTAACCAAAAAATAACATGCAGCATGACTGACAGTGACGATTATCGTTAGCTGCAGATCGTTCACTAAAACCAGAGAAGAGGCTTCAAGGATTTAGGACTCCGTCAGACTTGAACTGATCGTGTCACGAGGAAAACTGATGGTCTAATAAAGTGTTTCTTGTCTTAAAAGAGTCATTTTCCAAAACCAGCTGAAGGAAAAGGAGGTTGTCTTATATTCAAGCCAACACACACACACACACACACACACACACACCTCTCCTGCAGTCAGTCACCAACACTGCAGCATTGCATTTACATCCACAACCACAAAATGTATTATTTTGAGCCATTTTTCATGAAAGAAATGTCAGATTTCTCTGAGTGCAGCTTCTCCAATGTAAACATTTACTGCTTTTTGTCTTGTACAACAGGAAATTGAACATTTGGGGTTTTTTAACTGTGAGTTGAATAAAATAAAGGCGTCTGAAGATGTCACGTTGGACTCTGGGAAATAAAAATGTGTATTTTAATATTTTCTGACACTGTGATGGACCTGTTTCTGTATTTTCTCACATTTAATCCACAAAACGATGAATCGATGAAGACTAATCGATAATAAAAAATGATCGGTAGCTGGCTGGATGACTAGTATCTGATGTAAACAGTTTGACAGTCGGTCTAATAAAGTGTTTCAGGTCTTTAAAAGTCATTTTCCTAAAAACAGCTGTCGGTAAAGGGGGGTGGAGGTGGAAGTATGGGGGGGGGGGGTCGTCACACACCTCCTGCATTCAGTCACCAACACTGCAGCGCTGCGTTCACATCCACAACCACAAAATGTTTCATCACACGACGGCAGCTGCCACATTAAACCACATTCCTCCCCGTGACCCAGCGCGGGTTTTTATCCGCCTACAGGAGCCAGGAGTCCGGGGCGTTGGACTGACCCGTCCCCCCGAACCTGAGCTGCATGTGTCGGCTAATAGTTGGATGTCAAACGCTGACATCTGGCACTCCGGGCAGCTAAGCTACAAAGCTAACTCATTAGCTGCCGCTGGATTGATTAACTTGCATAACCCGGCTGCCTCTTTCCCGAGACGGGCAGAGGCGGTAGCAAGCACCGTGCTCCACCGGGCTCCACAAACAAATAAACCCAAGTAAATTAACTGTTACTGGGGCTGGCTTGACGTCCAGCGGCGCGTTAAGCTGCTCACGTTTAGCCAACTAGCTCAGCCTCCGTTAACTTCCTGCACCCGAGAAGAAAAAATAAAGAAATAAATGTCACGTACCTTTGATAGGTCGCTCAATGGTGGAGAGTTTATTTTGGTCTTTCGCCGACATCCTCCCTCCTGGTGGTGGGCTGCGGGCCGGAAAATTTACTCAATCCCGAACTAAACTTGATAAATTCCTGACTAGCTAGCTAGCTAGCTGGGGTGAGCTAGCCGCGCTAGCTAGTTGAGTGTGAGCGGCAGCAGCGCTTCGGTCCGCAGACAGGACAACCGAGCCGAGCCGAGCCGGGCTGGACTTGAACCTGACGGGGGAAGGGAGAAGGGGGGAGATCTCTTTAACCGACGAGTTAAAGCTTTTCCTCTCCCCTCTGCTCCGCGGTGCAGTGATGCCAAGCCGCTGTCAGAGTGTGTCAGACGGATGGGTCCAGGAAACGGCCCGGGCACCGCCGATCACTGTCTGCGGGAGCACCGAGCAGGGCGGCAGATCATATCCCAACTTTATCCCTTTATTCTCGGACGAGCTGCATCTGTTACAGGCCGCTGGGCTTTGGTTTTTTTCGTCGTGATCCGATGTGTCGTCCAGACCCTCTGTCGGATTACAATAATCCGCCGCAAGCGGATTTCCTACAACATGGCTCGACGCGGGGGGGTGTGGGTAGTGTAGTATTAATGTGATGTTAATGCGACGCGTTCACGGTCCGGCGCGTTCACGCTCCGACGCGTTCATGGTCCTCTGAGCCCCGGAAAAACCAACGTCTCACTGCAGCGGTGTGAGAAGTACTCTGATGATTTACTACAGTTAGAGTACTTCTTGTAGTTAAAGTATCCCAGTAAAGTACTTCAAGTATCACAGTAAATTATAAAAGTACTTCCTGTAGTTACAGTATCACAGTAAAATATAAAACTACTTTCTGTAGTTAAAGTATTGCAGTAAAAATACTTTCTGTAATTACGGTATCACAGTAAAATATGAAAGTACTTCCTGTAGTTAAAGTATCCCAATAAAAGTACTTTCTGTAATCACAGTATCACAGTAAAAGTACTTAATGTAGTTACAGTATCACAGTAAAGTATAAAAGTACTTCCTATAGTACAAGTATTGCAGTAAAAGTACGTCCTGTGGTTACAGCATCACAGTAAAGTATAAAAGTACTTCCTGTAGTTAAAGTATCACAGTAAAAGTACTTCATGTTGTTACAGTATTACGGTCTAATTTGTATTTTGGACTTTTCTCTACTTTTTGATTTTATTGTGAAAGTCTATATAGTTGCAGGTATCTACTGAGAGGCGTTTCTAGGGGAAATAACGCTTCACTGCAGCTAACATCTCAGACATCTGTGATAACAGGCTCCAATCAGACGCTGCTTTAACTCGTCACATGTCACAGTGGTTGGAAACCAATGATTTAATCTTAATGTTAAAATCTTAATCTGGAAAGTAGAAGCTATAAGTGTCAAATAAATGTTGTGAAGTCGAAGTATAAAGTAGAATACAATAGAAATACTCAAGTAACACTGAAGTACTTACAAAGTGTGCTTCCGTGCAGTACTTCTCTACTCTCCACCACTGCAGAGTACAAATTGTGAAGACTGATGTAAAAACATTGAATTTCAGTTAAAAAGGTGAATGTACGCAGCAGCTGTAGTGAGAAACCTACAGGATTAAACCTTAATCCGTAAAATCATCTTCGCTCACTTTGAATTCCACAGCCCTCCTATAGTTTGTCATGTACCTTTATTTTTACTGCCTCTGTGTATTTTAGATGTAGTTTGTTGATGCTGTGTCTCATCGTCGTCCTGTATGTCAGTGAACATGTATGTTTGTGTTTTCAACATTATATAGTGAAGCCAAAGATCATTTCCCACAGTGAGGACAATAATGTTCTTAACTAATTAATGTGCAGACGGAATTTGTGTCTAAATTTATACTTTGCATTTGGTGGAAATGATCAACCAGTTATTAACTACAGCTGTAGATGAATGTAGTTGTGTAAAAAGTAAATGACTTCCCTATCAAAGTGGAATAAAATGGACTCAGATATTGTATGAGCAGTTTCAGACAAGATTAACATCTTAGTCTGTGTTTTGGGAACTGAAGAAAATCATTTTCTACCTACGCAAAACTGCATGGCCTTAATATATAATTCAAAGTTGCCTTTAACTTCCCAAAAGGACTGGACTAGTTAAGTTAATGACACTATAGTGCATGTACTATATGTGTCACTTGAACGCAACACGAGGAGGCGAACAGAGTGAGTGTAGCGCTGCCGTGTGGACATTGATCCAAAATACAACAACTTTGACTCCGAGACAATATTTAATTCACATGGATGGTTATTCTGACAAAAATGATTCAGTGGTGTCCAGTTTATTAGGAACACCCAGTTAAACTATAAATCAATCAATCAATCCTCCTTCATGAAGCTTCTGATGTTCAGTTTGTGTTGAAGCTGATTCAGACGTGTTGATTGACCCGTGTGATCATTTTAGAGGATGGAAGAATGAAAACTGAGGTTCGACCAGTTACTGAGTCCAAGGGTTCGCTTACTTTCTCCACCTGCACTGTGAGTGTTTAATGAAGTGTGTTTAATAAAGACACTAAAGATTATATTTCTTTGTGTTACCAACTTCTCCACATTGTGTTTGTATTTGTGACTTAGACGAAGATCAGATCACATTAATGAGCCCTTCACTGACTCAGATACTTCAGGTTAATGAAGAGAGACTCTCCTCCATCACCAACTTTATTAAGACTTAGAGATGAATCTGGTGACACATGAATGGGAGGCGTTTTACATTTCATGTTTGTACAGAAATAAACAATAAAGAAAAAGTGACTTTTATTTTCTGACTGATAAAAGAATAAAAAAGAGGAACATCAGTGTCTTTCAGTCGTCTCTAATGTCTCTAATGTCTTCATGTCTTTAATGTCTCTAATGTCTTCATGTCTCTAACGTCTCTAATGTCTTCATGTCTCTAATTTCTTCATGTCTCTAATGTCTTCATGTCTCTAACGTCTCTAATGTCTTCATGTCTCTAATGTCTTCACGTCTCTAATGTCTTCATGTCTTTAATGTCTCTAATGTCTCTAACGTCTTCATGTCTCTACTGTCTCTACTGTGAGACTCTGTAAATAGAAACTCTTTAAAAGGTTCTGATCAGCAGCAGTTGTTGTCGGGCCTCCGGAGAACCAGGGTTTTACCATCATCTTGACCATGTAAGGGGAACTGAGTGAGGCTGGGGGGGGTCCCCGAAGACCCCCCCTTCATCCAGACTATCATCACATTCCCCCCTGCCTCCCAGACAGCTGCTGTATTTAAACCCTCTGCTGCCAAATCATTAGACACTGAAGGCAGCATCACCGAGGGGGAGAAGACCAGACATGGTACGTGTTTTATATTTTTCATATTTCAAAGCTTCATGTTTACAGCTGAGAGATTTATTGTTTTTATACGTTAAAAAAGCTGCAACTTTAATCATAACTCACATGTTTAAATGTGCAGCAAAAGATCAAAGTTTAAACCGCAATTGCTGCTTTGAAACATCATAATCACTAAAACTGTTCATTGATTCATTATTTCATTATAATATCTTAAAAACATGTGAATCAAATATGACACATCAGATATGTTGGGTCATTTTACTGTCAGCATCATGTTACGACTGATAACGACCTAGAGAGAAAGACTGAGGTATTTATGTGCAGAAACATGCGATATATGAATATAAAACATGTGATATATATATAAAACAAGTGATTTTATATATAAAACATGTGATACATGAATATAAAACGTGATTATATTTATAAAACGTGATTATATATATAAAACATGTGATACATGAATATAAAACGTGATTATATATATAAAACGTGATTATATATATAAAACATGTGAACATAAATGTTCTTTAGGTGCAAAAAAAACAGGTTGTAATTAAAAGTGCAGATTCTTCAGACAGTGATAAATATCACAGAATACACAACATATAGAAATATAATGGATTTCTATATACTATAATAAAATAACAACAAATAAATGTATTAATATGTATATAATGTAATATGAATACATACTCATATACTCTATAAATATACATAAATGCTGTTTTATGTAAAAGATTGTATATAACAATAAGAAATGACTAACTGCAATGAAGAATGATTACGTTATCGTATATATATTATATATATAATATTTTGGTTTCTAAAAAAGATAAATAAATAAATTACTATGAATGTCAGATATATCACAAATATGACACAAAACCAAAACAAATATAGAGACTGAAGTTTGGCCAAAGGTTCAATAAAACACTGTTTTAAAATGAATTAAAGCTAAATTGTTGATTTTAAATTGAATTTAAAAGTTCCCTTTTTTCTGAGCCGCAACCAACTGCATCATTTTATCAATTCACTTCACTGATTTAAACCTGATCAGTTTGTGATCAGGTTTAGCCACAACAATGATCTGAACATTACAGGAAATAATCACAAGATCAGTCACAGAAATTAGAAATTAATATTTTGACTTCATCAGAACACACACACACACACACATATATATATATATCTATAGATATATATGATAAAGTGATGTATATATGATGTCGTGTTTTTCAGGCGAGCAGGAAGACAAAGAAGAAGGAGGGCGGAGCTAAAAGAGCTCAGAGAGCCTCTTCCAATGTTTTCTCCATGTTTGAACAAACCCAGATCCAAGAGTTCAAAGAGGTAAACTCACCTGTACGCCGTCACCTGAAAGGTGTTTATTCTGTACTCACCCCCCCTCCTCTCTCTGACGTAGGCCTTCACACTGATCGACCAGAACCGGGACGGGTTCATCGATAAGGAAGACCTGAAGGACACGTACGCCTCTTTGGGTTTGTAGCTCTGATCCCAGATGAACACATGAAGCAGCAGGTGTATCAGACAGGTGTGTCAGACAGGTGTTCTGCTTCCTCAGGTAAACTCAACGTGAAGGACAACGAACTGGAAGACATGTTGAAGGAAGCTACTGGTCCCATCAACTTCACCATGTTCCTCAACCTGTTTGGAGAAAAGCTGCACGGTCAGTATCACTCAGTACTACAGAGTAATATACAGTACTACAGAGTATCACTCAGTACTACAGAGTATTACTCAGCAGAGTATTACTCAGCAGTACTCGTCAGTTTGACTTTGTCCTGGAAACTGGTTCATTTCAATCTGAGGCTCAGAACCTCGTTAACAGGAGAGGGAATCAGGAAAAACACATTTATTATGATAATTTATGCTAATTTTTGAGCCCTAATCTTCCAGTTTCAGCTTTTTTATTTTAAAAGACTGAATTTATTTCATCTCACTTAAAAAACACCTACAATTTTCCTCTTCTTCTGTGTTTTATTTGAAGTGCTGAGCCATAAGAACATATATTTGTGGTTCCTCTCAGTGTAGTTTTACATCTCCTCTCTCAGGCTTCTCTCTGCAGCTCTAGTAACAACAGGTCGGTGAGCCAATCAGAAGAGAGGAGGCTCTGAGCCTCTCTTCTGATTGGCTGACTGCTTTCTGACTGATCCAATAAAAATAAAGCAGATTTCAGGTAAAAACACTCAGAGAAACCAAATCCTGTAAAGGTTTGGATGGTGGGTCCAGGTGGGCGGGGCTTGGTGACTGCTTTGTTGTGACATCACAAAGTTCCAGAAGTCCTGACGGCTGGTTTTAAGGCTCAGTTTCTGAATACAGGCTGTGTGCATTTCTCTGTGGACTGAGGCTTTGATACTTTCACAGTATTAATATAGAAGCTAGAGCTGATCTATAATCACACTACACATGGACACAGACCTTTACACTGGAGGAGCTTTAACTGATCACAGCTGACAGACGCATGAAGCTGTTGATGAAGGATTGCAGTAGATGTACCTTTGTTTAAGAGGTCAGAGGTCAGAGAGGCTGGACACAGCTGATGCAGTGGATAACAATGAATCTCTGGTTTCCGACTGCAGGCACAGACCCTGAAGACACCATCTTAAACGCTTTCAAACTGTTTGATCCCGATGCCAAAGGCTTCATCCACAAAGACGAGTGAGTTCTCAGCTGAGTTAAATAATAATAATAATAATAATAATAATGATAAAAGAAAGTGAAATCATTGTTTTGTGTTTTTGCAGGTTACAGAAGTTACTGATGACACAAGCGGACAAGTTTACACCTGAGGAGGTAAAGACTGCAGCAGGTGTATTTATGAGCACATGATCTACCTGTGTGTTCTACCTGTGTCTCCATCACATGCGGAGTCTGATGTTTTTTTCACATTATTGTCCTTGAAGTTACATTTTTGAATTTCAGCCTGTTTCAAATTCACATTTTTTTGTAAGAATTTAGTCAAATCAGGTTCATTTTCCTTCGTCTTGTTCAGATCAGATATTAGACATTAACTCTTCGACAGCTGTATTTGAAACATGTTGAAATGGACTTTAAGGCCCGATAACAGTTAAACTTTATGTATCAATCATCCATGAATTATCATCAGTGTGTTTTCGTGATGTCACTCCTCGTGATGTCGCTGTGATTCCAGGTGAAGCAGATGTTCCAGTCGTCAAACATCGACGCTGCAGGACACCTGGATTATAAATCTCTGTGTTACATCATCACTCACGGAGAGGAGAAGGAAGAGTAGCGAGTCTGTGACTGAACATGTTTCTGCTGCAGTTTGGTTGTGACGCCTTGAAGCTGATGTTTGTCAAATAAAAGAAAAAAAAAAAAGAAAAATTGATTTAAATTCATTGATTTTGTTTTTCACTTTGGTTCAAACTGAAACTTAAAAACGTAAAAGTCCCACTCGTTTTTCCCATAGGATCCTAATGTTACCCCACATTTCCTGTCTGTGTCTCAGCTATACGGTCCCAGCAGATATATAATCTTTAAATCATTGGTTCAAATCATTAACGACTGCGTTAGAAAACATCTGGGTCTTTGATAAGAAGTCAAAAGTACGGTGGCCCCCGAGGGCGACCCGAAACAAAATCCAAGCACATGGGTTTGTAAAGCCACAGTGCAGATTTACACATGGCCTCATATGACCCCTGGGGGCCTCCGTATAAAGGCACAAGAAGCCTTAACTACGTCTCCCAAGGTGCATTTCAGCAGGAAACATCCAATCACAGAGCTTAAAGCTGTGTCACATGAGCTGCTAACGTCAGGTGACAGTTTGAAGAAACTGATTCTGGGTCAGTGACAGAATTCAGCAGCGATGACGTTGTGGTTTTGATGGTCTGAGAGCAGTAGTGACATGAGGTCTGACAGGGAAGGTGAGATATGAACTGATCATACATGTCATTACCTGTGTGAACAGAGGTAGAAAAAACTTTATTGGTAACTGGACAGTTTACAGTGTTTTCAGTACATGAGGCTCCAGCAGCACGTCATCAGTACGTCACCAGAGTTCAAGTGAGTTTGGTCCAGTGATGAGCAGCTCTCAGTGTTACGACTGTCCGCGTGTCAGCCCGTCACCTGAGGTCTCCATGACGATGGCGACAGGCTGCGGCCCGAGCGTCCGGGAAGACGAAGAAGGCCAGAGAGAACGCAGGGAGCCGCAGCCGCTTGGCCGGAGGCAGACGAGCTCCCGTCAGGTCAGGGAGAGTTTCATCATCCACCATCTTCAGAACGTCTCCGTTCAGCTTCACAGATCTGCCACAAAACAACAACAACAACAACAACATATTGATCATCAGTTAGTCATTGAGTCTGAAGCTCCGTCTTCCACTTCACGTTTAAATGAGCGGAGTTTCTTCTTCTGCGTCTCAGGAGCTTCCACATTAACACTAAGTGCCACAGCGTGACCTTTCACATGACGGGAGCTGAGCACATTTCAGCCTCTAACTCGGTGATAAATGGTTTTATTGAGGAGCTCAGGGCACCTGGAGTAGAGCCCCTCCTCCCCCGGCCGCTCCGCCTGCAGGACAAAGGCCTCCACTGTGCCGGAGGAGGCGAGGGCGGGGGCCGAGACGCTGACCGGCTTCTTACTGAGGTTCATGGACATGAGGGTGACGGCTCCTCTGCTGTAGCTGCAGAGACACAGTGATGCTGCGGGTCACGACAGTGAGTCCACATCAGACAGAAGCAACAGAACACAGAGTCAAAGATGGAGAACCTGTTGGTGTTGCTGCAGTGCAGATACAGCCTCACTCTCCTGCTGCGGCCCGGAGCAGAGAACGCCTCCACCTTCAGAACCTCTGGGCCCACCAGTCTCTTATAGAGAACAGACAGCCAGTAATCCTGCAGGAACACACACACACACACACACTTACAGCTGCACACACACACAAATATTACCTCATCAGCTGACTGTGTTTAAAGTAAACAGTCTCACAGGCAGAGGGTCCAGCTCGTCGTCCACCAGGTGGTAAGAACCAGAACCAACAAACACCTGCCTCATCACCACGTCCAGACCCAGCGTGGCCCCCAGGCCCAGCTTATCCAGCCACCTGTGGACACACACACACACACACACACACACACACACACACACACACACACACACACACACACACACACACACACACACACACACACACACACACACACACACACA